AACTGCTGACCTTAAGGTTCGCAGCCCGATTCGTAACCACTACGCTACCAGAGCTCCTTCCGACACCGTAGAGGTAGAAGTAATCTCTCTTCTCTGGTGTTAGGAACCCTGGTGACTCAGTGGTCAATTGCTCAACTGTGCACCAAAAGGTTGAAGGTTCGAACTCACCAGTCTCTCCATGGGAGAAAGCTGTAGCAGTGTACTTATGTAAAGATTGACACCCTCTGGGATGGTTTGACTCTGTCCTGTAGGGTCGCTATGAGTTGGAATTGATTCCACAGCAACTGGTTTGGGATTTTTTGTTTTTGTTGTTGCCTTGTGGTATTAAATGTGAAAATGCCCAGAAGGGAGTTATGACAGCCAAGTACATAAGCCAGTCCTTATTGCAGTTCTGATGTTTAGCCGATCTGGTTTTGAATCCTAGCTATGCTACTTAGACCAGGTGTGTGACTCTAAGTAAGTGGCCTTACCTCCTCTGAGCCTCAGTTTCTTCACCTGTGAAATGGCTGTTAATAACAGGACCTACTTTTGGCCTTTGCCAGGTTGCTAAACCTTCATCCATTCAGTAAGAGTAGATCCATGAATGACTGCCCTGTGCCAGCCTTCATGCTAGAGTTAAGGACCCCACCTTGGACAAAACAGGAAGAAAAGCCCCTGTCCTCTTCATATGAAGCTTGTGTTCTAGTAGGGGTGGTAGACACCAAAGAAAACAGAAAGAAGCCAAGTATGGGCATGGCCTGCTGCAGAATAGAAGTATGTATGAACAGACACCCAAAGTGGGAGCAGAGAGAGCTTCCCAGGCATGTGCAAAGGCCCTGTGGTAGCTGTGAGTTCAAGGAGCAGGTGGAGCAGCATCAAGGCAGTGAATTATGGGAAAGGTGGTCAGCAAAGGGGCAAAACAGACTGGTAAGGAGTTTGGATTTGTGTGAGTGAAATAGGGAACGCAGTTCTGAAAGGCTCTTTCTGGTTCAGGTTTGGTAATTAACTGTGTGGGGATGGGGTGGCAGCAGGGAGACCCATGAGCAGGAAACAGAAACAAACTAAGTGAGCTCTTGGGAGGAACAGCCAAGGTCCTGACAGGTCTGGTTCTGGATTTGCTGGTGGGTCGGATGTGGAGAGTGAGCGAACTGAGATGGGATGACTCTAAGGTTTGCGGTCCAGTCAGCTGTTTGCTGTAAATCCACCGGGCACCAGACTTAGCAGCAATGGAGCGGGCTTCTCGATCTGCCATCACGCTGAGTCTCTGCTGGTGGCTTCACATTCCAGCATTCCTAACTCAGTCTTAAAAAGGACAAAGCTGAGATCTGGGGAGGCCACACAGTCAGCAAGCGCCTAAAACAGGGTTTGAACTCCCAGACTGCTGGGCTCTGACATTTCCTTGGGATCTATTGCCTCTGCCTCTTTTTTCTACAACCCTCACTTCCGCTCAGGAAGGAAAGGGGTGGTCAGAAATGGAGGCAGGAGAGGAAAGCGGCTTGCGTGTTGGGTTGGGTGTTAGAGGGTGGGGGCTGCTTGCTTTGGCTATTCAAATCTTCTGTAGGAGTCCAGTGGGTGCGGGACAAGGGGTGGCAACCGCCAGGCTGGGCTGCTTTGGTTATTCAAAACCTGGCAATGTTGTTGGGTCACTGAGGACCAGACAGGCCCCTCCCAGCACTTGGGTGTCCATTTAACCTTCTGTACCTGCCTGGTGTCTGAGTGGCTGGGGAGTCTTGCTGATAGATCTTGTACTGCGGTCCTTCTGATGGGCACAGGCCAGCATTTTAACCCTGTGAACACAATCCTGTTAAATTAATTGAAATCACTTCTTTCCCTCTCCTTTTTAGCCTCCTTGTCCCCGCACTTCTGCCTCCTCCCGGTACCCGACAATGACCACCCTGGTCAGCGTGGACACCCTTCCAGAATATGAGAAAAGTCAGATCAAGAGAGCCCTGGAGCTGGGGACCGTCATGACTGTGTTCAGTTTCCGCAAGTCCACCCCTGAGCGCAGGACTGTGCAGGTGATCATGGAGACGAGGCAGGTGGCCTGGAGCAAGACCGCAGACAAGATTGAGGGCTTCTGTGAGTACCCCTTGGCCCTTCACCCTCCTGCCTGTGGTAGTTACTGCAATTCTTGCTAATTTAGTGCGCTAGGCTCAAAATGAACGAACTGCCCCAGGGAGCTCTTTATCTGGGTCTCTGAAGGGGTTTGGAGCAGAAGACCATTCAGGCAGCAAAGTTACGGTAAAAGAGGACCTTCCAGGGACCCTTGAGGGAGAAGCTGTTGGGGTGGTTTGCGGGGCTGCTCTGGCTGGGTGAGGGGCTCTCTGTACAGAGCTTCCAGCTTTCGGGCTCCCCTTGCTCAAGTGCTGGCCTCTTCCAGCCAGATGGCCCGAGATGACCTCACCGACTTGCGGACACTCTTGTGTGTGTCTTCGACTCCCAATATCGATTTTCATTTACGCAGACCTCAGCTTTGCTTTTTCCTTGGCGTCCAGAGAGTGATTCACTGAGTGATTTTTGCTTTCCAACAAGGTACGGGTCCTGGCGGCTGTATCTTGTCTTCCTCACCCCCTTGCGATCGGGCATCGAGTTCAGTTCCTGATGACCCTGAGACTGTTGTAGACCAGCAGTGTTGGGGATGGAAGCAGGGATTGATTGTAGAGAATTGTGTTTTGTAGAAACTTGAGTTTTCATTGAAAAATGGCCAATATACATTTCAAAAGAAAAAAACCCATGACTCTTAGGTGTCTCTCTTCCCCTGACCTGGCTCATGGCCAGTTTCTTTTGTGTTCTACAAGTGTTCTGAGCATGTATGATGTGTGTGGTGTGTTTCGTGCACACATGGGAACCTCCTACATGCACCTTGGATTTTTTTTTCTTTGTTTCATTTTATAATGATCTTGCTTTCTTATCAACACATAGCAATCTGTTTGATTCTTTCAGGGACACTTGGTACCCCCTTCCCATGGTTGCGTGTGAACTAAATAGCCCCTAGAGGTAGACGTTGTGGGCCGTTGGGTCTTTCGCTGGGAGGGTCAGTGCTGTAGGGATGACCCTGACATTACCTTCTTAAGGAGCTGATGGATGTGGGTTCACTAAAGCTCAGCCCCCTTAAAGAGCTCTCTCGGAGTTAGGTGTACTTCTCTTGACCTGGAAATGACCCTTTGGTGGTACCCCACAAAGGCGTGTTCTCCCTTTAGCCTTCAGCTCATATGGTTTGAGCATGCCCAGTTCCCACCCTTACCCAGATTACCATGATTAAAGTTTCTGAATTTCGCCGGTCTCAGGGAGCCGATGGTAGCTTGGCACAGAGCTTCAGTTGCTTTCTCTTATCATGGGTGAGAGGAAATAGTTTTGCAAAGGTTTCTCCCAGCCTTGGAATGAAGCCAGCCTCAGATGGCCCACAGCCAGCAGGTTGGCTTTGAAGACGCCCCTGTGTGGGGGCAGCCAGGTCTCCTTCCCACCGCTTAAACTGTTTGTGTTGCCCACACTCGGCCACCCAGGTGGCCCAGAACCTGACGCAGCTGGGCTGGGGGGAGGAGGTGGAACTGGGGGCCTGCAGGTGGTAGAGCAGATCCTGGTGGTAAATACTGGGGAGCCTGTAGGCACTGGAGAGTGGCATCTTTTTTCTTACTGTAGGTGGGTCTCACACCTGGCTGACCGTCAGAAAAACGGGGGCGGGGGGGCTTTTAGAAATGCAGGTCACTGCAATGGTGGCTGGTGGGCTGTGAGTCAGTGTCTGGCTAAGTCCTCCAGGTAATCTTGGCTACTTGCCAGGCTTGGTAACCAGCTATAGGACTCATTGACACCTCCTTCCTTTCCTCCCATCCGACATTTGAGCACCCACTCTCCCAAGCACTGTCCCAAGTATTGGACATGCAGTGGTAATTATTAGATTCTCAAATCTTTGTAGAGCCTGGGTTTTATCAGCAAAGCAGTGTGTATTTGTTGAGCTTTCCTGTGTGACTTGGGCAAGTCACCACGGTGTTGTGAGCCTTAGTTTCCTGGCCTGTAGAATGGGTATAGTATTGGTGCCCACTAGGGTGGTGGCGGGAGTGGTGGTGATGTGCTTCTGAGTGGTTCTGACTCACAGTGGCCTTGTGCACAACCAGATGAAACACTGCCTGGTCCCGCACAACCGTTCGGTTTGACCCGCTGCTGCTGCTTCTGCCAGTCCATCTCGTTGAGGATCTTCCTATTTTTCGCTGACTCTCCACTTTACCAAGTATGATGCCCTTCTCCAGGGACTGGTCCCTCCTGATAACCTGTCCAAAGTGTGAGACATGGACTAAGTCTCGCCATCCTGACTGTCAAGGTGAATTCTGGTTGTACTTTTTCCAACACAGATTGGTTTTGTTTTTCTGGTAGTCCATGGTACTTTCGATATACTTCTCCAACATCCTAACTCAAATGCATCAATTCTACAGTATTCCTTATTCATTGTCCAACTTTCACATGCATATGAACTGATGGAGAATACCATGGGCTTGGGTCAGGCATACTTTAGTCCTCAAACTGACGTCTTTGCTTTTGAACACTTTAACAGAGGTCTTGTGCAGCAGATTTGCCTAGTGTAATATGTCATTTGATTTCTTAACTGCTGCTTCATACAGCGTTAATTAGGGATCCAAGCAAAGTGCAGTCTTTGACAACTTCAATTTTCTCTTCATTTATCATATTACTTGTTGGTCCCGTGGTGAGGATTTTTGTTTTCTTTACACTGGGTTGCTACCGATACTGAAGGCTGTGACCTTTGATCTTTATCAGAATTTTAAGTTCTTTCACTTTCAGCAAGCTAGGTTGTATCCTCTGCATATCGCAGGTTGTTAATTAACTTTCTTGCATTCTTCATGCTACGTTCTTCTTTATCCAGTTTCTTGGATCACATGCTCAGCATACAGATGGAATATGTATGATGAAAGAATACAACCCTTTCACAAATCTTTCCTGATTTTAAACTAGTCAGTTTCTCCTTGTTCTCTTTTAACAACTGCTTCTTGGTCTATGTTCAGGTTCCTCATGGGTACAGTGAATTGTTCTGGAATATCCATTCTTTGCAGTGTTGTCTGTAGTCTGTCATGGTCCACACAGTTGAATGTGTTTGCATAGTCAGTTTAGTGCAAGCAAACATCTTTCTGATTTTGTCTGCTCTCGATCAAGATTCATGTGACGTAAGTAATGATACCCTTAGTTCAATGTACTGTTGAAACGGTTTTTGAATAACATTCAGCAAATTTTACTTGTATGTTATATCAATGATATTATTATTATTTTTCATATTTTTAGTTTTTATTGTGATTTGAGTAAAAGTTTACAGGGTAGATCATTAGTTTTACATTCAACAAATCACCTACTTTGTTTTTTAACAATGATTATAGCCTCCTCCATGTACCATCAGTTAACAGTATTTCTCTCTATTCATTTTAGCTTTTTTTTTTTTTAAAAAACACTCAGGCATATATAATAATGTAAACCACCAAGGGCACATTCTGAAAGCCTGCCTCCTGGCCCCCAGCTTTCCGTCCCTCTCTTTCCATGAATCTAGAGTCCTCAGCTGCTCCCTCTCCATGTCCTCATCTCTGCCTCTATCTCTGGTGTCACTGCTTCTCTGGATAGGGTCCCACATTCTTGTGTTCTTCTCCCTTGATGGTCCTAGGGTCTTCTGTTTCTGGACTGTAAGATTAGCTACTCCCCCACTTTTTTTTAAATGCTTTATTGTGAGTTATGTGATAGTTTGCATGGGAGAACATTAGCTTCACATTGATCCCATCGTAAATCGTTCCCTTGCCATGGTTACAATCACCTACATGCATCATCCACCAACCGCAAGGTATACCTTGCAAGCCTGTACCCCGGTCGTCAGCACACAGCCCCTCTCTCTCTCTGGGTCTAAAGTCCCCAGCTGCTCCATCTCTCCACATCATCGACTCTGCCTCCATCTCAGGCATCACTGCTTCTCTGGGTAGGGTCCCGCTCTCCGCTCTTCTCCCTTGATGGTTCCAGGGACCTCTGCTCCTAGACTGCAAAGTTAAT